GGCCCCGCCGCATCATGGGAAGATAGAGGCCCCCACAACGAGCCCAGAAGCCCCAGAGGCCCCCAAGACATTCCAAGAGAGCCCCCAGTCGCCGAGGGCTCCTTCCAGGACGGCCAAGTAGCCTCCAGGCTCCAGACGGCCCAAGACGCCCCCAACACGCCCCAAGACACCCCCAAGAGCCCTCCCAATGGGGCCCCACGTACCAACATTCATTGATTTTCAATCCGTTTTTGGAAGGAAAAAATGCGTTCTCGCGAATTTGGTTTCTCGACGCCGCTCCACGACGGCCCAGGAGGCTCCCAACCTCCAGCATGGCCCAAAAGAGCCTCTAGACCGCTGCAAGAAAGGCCCCAGAGGAGAACCCGAGCCTGCATCTCCACTAAGCTCCAACGGGCCCGCCCCCATGAAGCGCCCAGAAGGGGACCAGCAGGCCCCCCAAAGGCGCCCACGAGGCTTTCAGGCGCAACCCACCACAGCCGGCAGTTCCCCAAGGGGTCGACAGTGTGGCGTCAGCCCAAGAATCCACGTCCGGAGGTGACGTGCTGAGCGACAGCGTGTTCCGGCGAACGCCTTACTGCAACGTATCCCATTTATCCAATGATTGCATACTTGCCACATGTTGTATTGTGTTACATTATTATGTCTCCCCCCTAACCCCCCCTGGGAGTTTCGCCACACCGCCGGACCAAAGTGGCCCCCCCCCCCTCCCGGGGCTCAGAAACCTACCAAAACTTATGGAAAATCGATGATTTCGACCTCTTGGGCCTCTTGGGGGGCCGAAAGGGCGCCAAGACGGTTCAAGATGGGCTGTGTGCGGGCCAAAACGGCCCCGAGACGGTCCGAGATGGTTCCAAGAGGGCCCAAAAAACCCAAATGACGGCCCAAGAGGGCCCCAAGAGCGCCCACAACTGCGCCTCCAGAGGCCAAAATCATCTATTGCCCGATGGTTTGGGCACGATTTTAGCGTTCTCGCCTTTGCGGCCCAAGCAGCTTCGCAAATCGCTCCAGCACAACCCAAGAAGCCCCCAAGAGGACCCCCAGACGGCCCAACAAAACCCCCAGACGGCCCAAAGAGGCCCCCAAGGCGGTCCAAGAGGCCGCGAAGACGGCCCAAGAGAACCCCAAGACGGCTCCAAAGCGGCCGCGAGAGGCCCCCAAGACGGCCTCCGAAGGGGCGAAACGGCGCAAAAGCGCCCCAATACGGCCAATGACGCTCCCAAGAGGCCCCAAGAGGCCCCCAAGAGGACCCCAAGGGGCCCCAAAAAGCCCCAAGAGGCCTCCAAGATGTCTTCAAGAAGCCTCCCAAAGGCTCCAAAGAAGCCCCCCGAAGGCCACACAGCGACTGGAGTGTAATGTCATTTTTCCAACCTGGGCGAACTGCGGCGCAGCGCCAGCCAGGTGGAAGCTGATCACAGCGGCGCCCATGATTAGAGCCGGCGCTGGAAGGAAATATGGGGAGGGAGTTTGACAAGGAGGGAGGGGGGAGAGGCCCCAAAGAAGTCCCCAAGAGGCCCAAGGAAGCTCCCAGGAGGCCTCCAGGAGGCCCCCAAGAGGCCGTCAAGAGGCTCCGCGACGACGTGACTGTACGTGCTCCGGACGTGCACCCCGCGAAGCGAGAGGAATCCACATCCGGAGGTGACGTGTTGCCAGAGGCAAGTCTGCGGAGGCGGCTATCCATCCACAGATTGCATAATTGCACGTGCTCCGGGGGAGGACGTGCACCACGCGAAGCGAGAGGAATCATACATGGCCGAACTCGCGCGGACAACCTGCGGAGACCACGTATCGGACACGCGCGGGCAGCACCCGCGGACCCGGCCACGCGAGGACCGAGCTCTGGGCAGACGTGCAACCACCTGTGCACGAGCAGAAGGGCAGGGAGGAGGGCGAGGATGAGGACGAAGGGGGGGCCTCCTCCAGCGCCCGACGCTCTTGCAAGAGTGCGACCGCCTACCTCTCGAGCAGGAGATCGTCTGCAGAACTGATGTACCCAGCATTGGTTTATTCCGGCGAGTCTACCACAAAGTACGCTGAATGTTCGTAAATCTGCAAGCACGAGAAGTATTGTTGTGGATTCGATGAGAAGAACGATTTGGGGTGAAATCAATCATGCAGGCGATCTCCCAATCGAACCTTTCTTCTCCCCCCTGGCGTTGCAGGCAAGAGATGGCACGAAGCCTCCAGACATGAGCGCTGGTCCCTTGCGCGGGGGGCATCCAGCCAGACCGAGCCAACTGTGAAGGCGGAGACGACGAGGAAACAAGGGACGCAGAACCACCCTACGGCAGGTTCGTGTCGTGACGACTTCGGCGGTGGATTCTGACACTGCACGGATCGTTCAACCTTTAATAATCGGCGGTCTTTCGATCACCTGGTCGTTCCATGTTGGGCGATTCTATGCCACTGGCGGCGTTCAACCTTGAACGCCCGCGGCGGGGTCGCTGCCGCGTCGACACGACACGAGCCAGCCGTAACAAAATGGCACATCGTGGGCACATCTTGGCCTTCTTGCACGCCGTCTTTGCTCCAGAGCGGCGTCCAGAAGTGCCTGGCAGCACGGCTGCCTGCGGGGGGCACAGTGGGCGGAGAGAGTCGGGGGAGGAGCAAGAGTATGCACGGAAAAGGGAGGACGCGGCGATCGAGACTGGCATGGGCGGGGTCCTCCCCCTCCAAAGATGGCCTGCGGAAGCGGAATGTACAAGCACGTCTTGCCGAGTTCCTCCCTTCGATGAGAGCGCAGCAGTCCTGCATGACACGTTTGGCCCGGGGGGCAGCTGCATCGAAGTGGGGCCGCCCGAAGAGACGGGAATGGCCACAACTCGTCGGGCAGCGGGTGGCGCTTCGCCGGGGAGACGAACGTGTGCAAAAGCTGCGCTCGCGGGCACGAGCGGGGAGAGAAGCGAGGAGACGAGAAACCAAAAGTCCGGACTCGACGAGCACGTGGACCAACACAAGGCATACACGCAGTGCCTTGGAGGTCCGCGCGGGATTCCTGGGTCGGCGCTGAAGCCCCTCCCCGGCGTGCGGGGCGCGCGGGGGGCGGCGCCAGAGGCGCCGCCGGAGGGGCGCAGCGCGGATTCAAGCGATCTGCGCGGAGCTCCGGAACGCTGTGCTGATGCTTAGATCGGGCATGTCCTCCCACGGGCAGAGTTTGGAAGGAGAGATAAAAGATCAGCCTGGCGAAGGGCCCAACCACATGCAGTTGTGAATGCCGTCGCTGTTAGTATCGCCTTCGGTGGATCTCCTGATGGGGCCACGAAGCGCGTGAAGAGCATGCCGAAATGAAGCGGGGCCGCCATGCGGGCGCTGCTACTGGGGCCTGATGAGAGCCCCTTTGATGGGGCCACAAAACGTATGAGAGATGTGCCGAAATGGGGTGGGGACGCAATGCGGGCGCTGCCACTGGGGCCTTCGGTGAAGCTCCCTATGGTGCCACGAAACGTGCGAGAGGCGAGCGGCGATGATGGCGATGATAACAACGATGCACAGGACCTTAGGTGGAGCTCCCTGTGGGGCCACGAAACGTGTGAGCCGACATGAGGCGGCGCCGCCATGCGAACTGCGCCACTGGGACCATAGGTGGAGCTCCCGATGGGGTCACGAAACGTGTGAGGGGTGTGCCAAAGTAGGGCGGCGCCGCCATGCACACTGCGCCACTGGGACGCTAGGTGGAGCTCCCTATGGGGCCACGAAACGTGTGAGGGGTGTGCCAAACGCGGGCGACGCCGCCATGCGAACTGCGCCACTGGGACCTCAGGTGTAGCTGCAGGTGGGGCCACGAAACGTGTGAGGGGTGTGCCAAACGCGGGCGGCGCCACTGGGACATCATGTGGAGCTCCCTATGGTGCCACGAAACGAGTGAGGGGTGTGACAAAATAGGGCGGCGCCGCCATGCGGACTGCGCCACTGGGACCTCAGGTGGAGCTCCCCATGGGGCCACGAAACGTGTGAGGGGTGTGCCGAAATGGGGCGGCGCCGCCATGCGGACTGCGCCACGGTGACCTTAGGTGGAGCTTCCCATGGGGCCACGAAACATGTGAATGGTGTGCCAAAATGGGGCGGCGGCGCCATGCGCACTGCGCCACTGGGACCTCAGGTGGAGCTCCTTATGGGGCCACGGAACCTGTGAGGGGTGTGCCAAAAATGAGGCGGCGCCGCCATGCGCACTGCGCCACTGGAACCTTAGGTGGAATCCCATATGGGGCCACGAAACGTGTGAGGGGTGTGCCAAGAGGGAGGGCGACGCCGCCATGCTGACCGCGCCACTGGGACCGTGAGTGGAGCCCCCATGGGGCCACGAAACGTGTGAGGGGTGTGCCAAGAGGGAGGAGGGGGGGATGAGAAGGATGAGGAGGAGGAGGAGGAGGAGAGGAGAGGAGAGGAGAGGAGAGGAGAGGAGAGGAGAGGAGAGGAGAGGAGAGGAGAGGAGAGGAGAGGAGAGGAGAGGAGAGGGAGAGGAGAGGAGAGGAGAGGAGAGGAGAGGAGAGAGGAGAGGAGAGGAGGAGAGGAGAGGAGAGGAGAGGAGAGGAGGGGAGAGGAGAGGAGAGGAGAGGAGAGGAGAGGAGAGGAGAGGAGAGGAGGGAGGGGAGGGGAGGGGAGGGGAGGGGAGGGGAGGGAGAGGAGAGGAGGAGGAGAGGAGAGGAGAGGAGAGGAGAGGAGAGGAGAGGAGAGGAGAGGAGAGGAGAGGAGAGGAGAGGAGGGAGAGGAGAGGAGAGGAGAGGAGAGGAGAGGAGAGGAGAGGAGAGGAGAGGAGAGGAGAGGAGAGGAGAGGAGAGGAGAGGAGGAGGAGAGGAGAGGAGAGGAGAGGAGAGGAGAGGAGAGGAGAGGAGAGGAGAGGAGAGGAGAGGAGAGGAGAGGAGAGGAGAGGAGAGGAGAGAGGAGAGAGGAGAGAGGAGAGAGGAGAGAGGAGAGAGGAGAGAGGAGAGAGGAGAGAGGAGAGGAGAGGAGAGAGGAGAGGAGAGGAGAGGAGAAGAGAGGAACGCGGGGACCGTTTTTTTTTTTTGTTTTTGTTTTTTTTGCTGCTTCCCCACGGGGCGCCGGATCCGAGATGTAGTGGCCCGTTGGCCGGCTGCCTCGGAAAGCACGACGATACCCGCGGCCGAGAAACTGAAGGATGGGCCAGCCTGACGATCTCCAACTAGCCTGTCACCTGTCGGTTACCTCGTTCTCTTGTCAGGAGTCAGGAGGAGTGGAGGAGGCTGAAATATACTTGCCGTCGCGCCGTGGCGCAGGCGGAGGCGCCCATGGCGGCTCGCAGAGCAGCGGGGCAGGACAAAAATACACCCGATTGCCAGGCGAGCGCGGTGATATAGGAGGGAGGGCCGAGGTGCAGGTCGCCAAGAGGGGTACTAGCACGGACCAGCTGCCACAGGCCACCCGGCCGGCAAGCCGCTTCAGATGATCTCCAGGGAGCCCAGGACCCAGAAGGCCAGGTAGATGAACGAGGGGCCGAACAAGAAGGCGGCAAGCAAGGGCGGGTTGGGGGCGCCCAGGGGGACCTCGTCGAGGTCGAACTCGTCCGAGGGGTTGATGTAGACCTTGTCCCCCCTGACCTTGAAGGGCTTCACGGGGGCGGCCTCGGAGTCCGCGGGCTTCACGGCCTTTGGGGCCGCCTCGAAATTGTTGGGGATGCTGAAGCTCGGCAGGGAGATGCTGAAGCCGCCGCCGGACTCCTGCGCCGCCGCCGGCGCCGCCGCCACCCTCTCCTCCTTCTTCGCCTCGTTCACTTGTGCCTCGCGCTTCTTCTTCTTCCTGGAGATCTTGCCCGCGATGGTGCTCTGGCTGTCCTGGGCCTCATCATCCGCGCGCACCGGGCTGGCCACCATCGTCACCGCCAGGCCGAGGGTGGCGGCGCAGACCGCCAGGCCGACCAGCGGGCGGGAGGCCTCCTGGGCGCCCTCCTCGAGCGGCGCGGGAAAGCGCTGCAGCTCGATGCCGCCGCGGAGGGACTGCTGGCTCGCAGCGCTGCGAGCGCCTGGCGAGACGAAGCACCTCGCGGCGTAGGCCCAGCCCGCGAGAGCGACGCCCAGCGCCGCGTGGCCAGCGGCCTGGCTCCTGCGAGCGGGCGCCATCGGTCGACAGGGCGCGGTGGACGGGACCCCGAGGCTCGGTCTGGCTGCCGCGGCGACCCAGACAGCTGGAGCCAGAAAGGCTTGAGCCAAGGAGGAACGCGGGGACCGTCTCTTCAAAACGAGTACCCAACACCACAGGATAGCTGGGGAAAAAAAAAACAACCAAATTGGCCTGGCGAAACACCCAACCATATGCAGTTGTGAATACCATGGTTGTTAGTAGTGTCGCCTTCGGTGAATCTCCGTATGGGGCCACGGAGCGCGTGAAGAGTCTGCCGACATGGGGCAGGGCGGAGCTCCCGATGGTGCCACGAAACGTGTGAGGGGTGTGCCAAATGGGGCGGCGGCGCCATGCACACTGCGCCACTGGGGCCCACGAAACGTGTGAGGGGTGTGCCAAAATGGGGCGGCGCCGCCTACAGACTGCGCCACTGGGGTCTTAGGTAGCTCCCTATGGTGCCACGAAACGTGTGCGGGGTGTGCCAAAATGGGGCGGCGCCGCCATGCGAACTGCGCCACTGGGACCTTCGGTGGAGCTCCCTATGGGGCCACGAAACGTGTGAGACGTGTGCCAAAATGGGGCGGCGCCGCCATGCGGACTGCGCCAGTGGGACCTCAGGTGGAGCTCCCTATGGGGCCACGAACGTGTGAGGCGTGTGCCAAAATGGGGCGGCGCCGCCATGCGGACTGCGCCTCTGGGACCTTAGGTTGAGCTCCCTATGGGGCCACGAAACGTGTGAGGGGTGTGCCAAGAGGGAGGGGGGAAGGAGGAGAGGAGGAGGAGGAGGAGGAGGAGGAGGAGGAGGAGGAGGAGGAGGAGGAGAGGAACGCGGGGACCATCTCTTCAAAACGAGGACCCAACACCACCGGATGGTTGGGAATCTATAACATCGTCACAATAATCTGTCCTCACTGTTCTTGAATATTCCTCCTGTAGATAGACATGCCCGACTCAATGATTGTGCCGTTGTCCCCTCTTCGTGGCCTCTGCTCTCGCGCCTCCCTGAGAACCGACGCTGCGAAAAGACGGCAGCGGCGCGAGCAAAAAATCGAGGCCGGAGCCCCAGTCCCCGCCTCCCTCTGCGGCACGTTTCGAGCCAGGTCGATACCGTGGCGGTCACCAGGCCCCGAGGCCGGGCGGCAGCACGCCCGGCGGGGCGCAAAGAGGCGGCGCCCAGACCTCAAGAGTGGGCGCAGGGAGGGACTGTGAGAAGCGAGAACGCGGGCCCACCCCAAGGGGGGGGTGGCCCTGAGTGGGGGGCAAGAAATACACCCCCAGAATAACCACCCCGACAAGCGAGGCCGTCCAGGTGACTCACGCAACGAGGGAATCAAACAGGGCAGGGCTGTTTAGACGCCCAGGGCCGTTTAGTAAACGCCAATCGTCGGGTCCAGGTGGCTTTCCCTCCCTTGGCTGAGGGGGGGGGGGGCATGAGTTCGATCCGCTGGTGCACCGAACCGCCGCAAACAGATGCCCCAGCGCATGCCCCACCGATCGGCAACTAGCGGGAGCTGCCGGCGGCTGGGGGGTATCTGTTTTGGGCGCTTCGGTGCAAAAACGGATCGAATTCTCACAGACACACATCGGGAGCGGCCAAGAGGGGGGCGTCCAAGAGGGGGGGGTGCAAATCATGACGGGCGGCATGTGCGCGGCCCTGCGGGGGGGCCAGGGACGTAATGAAATGAGAAGAGGCGCCATGAAATCTGAGGAAATATCATGGCCACCGCCATGATATCCACCCCCCCCTAGTCATCACCCCCCTCTTTTCCGCCCCCGAACACACACACACACACACACACACACATACACCCCAGGGCACACACACACACACACACCCTTTGCGGGATCCCGAGAGAAGCAAGGCCACGCGGGGGGCGGTCCTGAGAAGCTACATGATGAACACGGAGGGCCACGGTGGAGGCCATTGTAATAGTCTGCGTGCGGGGGGGGGAGGGGGGGGGGGCGAGCGCAGCGCTCTTTCGGGGCGAGGCGGCACGCGCCGCGGGCGGTGAGGGACGAGCCGAGGAGGGCAGGAGCTTGGAGCGCGAGGGCACGCACGGCAGCGAAAGAGAGCCGCAGCCTGCCGTCCGCCCGAGCTCAGGTCGACAATCTGACAGCCGCACGCCTGAGGCAACCAAACGTGCCAGGTCCTCGATGGCTTTGTCGAGGGCAATGGCCTCCGCCTGGTATGACGAGATGGGGTCCTGCAGATGAAAGTAGTGGCCATGGCTATGGGGAAACGAATCCTGCCAGCCACGCCCTCTAAATACCCTGCGGCAACCGAGCACGAGTTCGCCTGGGTCCCGCCAACTATTCGCACAAGCAAATGAAAATCCTTGACGCAGAATCGGCTGCTTGGTGGGGACTCCCCGACTCCTGACAGGGCCCCTCACCTGCGAGGAGGCCGCGACGAGGCGAACGGTTGTACAAGAACCTCGGGCACCCTGCTCGAAACGCAGCCAGTGTTGGCGCCCGGCACGCGCGCCTCGCGTGCACGGTGATGCGCATGCGGAGGCACGGTTGCGAGCACGCGTGAAGACGGCTGTCGCCCCACACCGACGCCCTCTCGACGTCGCCGCCACTGGGCCGCCTCCCTCCCAGACATCCTCCCGACCGGCGTCTCCAAATTCCGGACGCGGTGCGCAGGCGCCCCGGGACAGGCAAGAAGCAGGCGCAGGGCCGAGCGCTGCAAGCATCACAGAACCAAGAGAGCCAATGCCCCCCCACTCGCAACCAGACTGGTATTATCAGTCCTGGTCTTATTATGGTTCGTCGTCTCCATATTCTCGTAGTTCATCCTTGCTTTCATCATTCTTCCTCATTTTCTGCTACGAGGAGACTGATCGATCTCCCAACGCCTGAACGCTCTAGGGGCCCTAGGGAGTGTGGAAAGACGTTGAGACTGATAGGGACCGGAGGGTAAAGAAAATTGGCTCCCGATCGCAGCACGAACGGGTCTGCAGCGAGTCTGCACAGCACTACAGAAGCTTTGCCAGGGCTTGAAGAACCCGCTGGTGGAACCAGAGAGCCCAAAAGCTGGAGTATCCTGCGTGCGAGTATGCGGAGGGGGATCCGAGCCGACGTTGAACTGTGGGAGGCATCGTGTCAGCACCCCCCGCGAGCCCGTTCCGCGCTCCTCCATCGCCGCAAATAGAGGGAGGGGCGATGGGAGAAGGCAGCGAGGCGGCCGGGAGTCGAGTGCATCCGCTGCGTCTGCCACTCACGCGCCACAACTGCTCGACGCGCTGTGCGAATGCTCGCGCGGGCCTCAGGAGCGCTGCTGCCCATGGCACCTCCACTGCTGGCGGTGCGGTGCTGCACCGAGAACGCAGAAGAGGAGAGGCTGCAGTGACCGGAGCAGAGGGCTGGCGCCGGGGGCCTGATAAGTCGTGGATGGTAGTCTGAAGTGCTTCACAATTTGCGGATCTTGATGGGCCAATGTTCCACCACCGCTACCATGGGTAGGATGGGGGAGAATGGAGATTGGGGAGGTCCTCCTCATCCTCCTCATCCCCCTCCTCCTTCTCCTCCCCCTCGACTCCCTCTCCCCCTCCCCCCGCCTCCTCCCCCTCCCCCTCCCCCTCCCCCTCCTCACCTCCTCCTCCTCCTCCTCCTCCTCCGCCTCCTCCTCCTCCGCCTCCTCCTCTTTTCCTCCTCCCCCTCCTCCTCCATTTATAAGTAAGACTAACATTAGGTGCCGCTGCTTTCCATCCTTCCTCCTTTTTTACGTTACGTTAGGTTGGTGTTTGTTGCGTTCCCTCCTCCTCCTCCTCCTCATCCTCCTCCTCCTCCTTCTCCTCCTCAGCCTACCTATGGTGGTGGTGGTGGTGGAGAATCGGCCCATCAGATCTGGGTGAATGCGGTAGCTGCAGGGATGGCTGACCAATGTTGCTCGAGCCACCAATCCAGTCGAGAGCAGGGTCGAGAGCAGGGGGGGGAGTCGGCCGACCCCACAGACTGGCCACGACCGGGGGAACCGTGCTCCTCACCCCGCTGGGAGAGCCCATCGTACCGACGATCTCTCCAGGGGGGCCTCGAAGCCGATGGGCTCCCCAGGGAGGCAAGGCCACGGCTCCCCGAGCGGCGGCCGATCTGAGCCCTGAAGACGCGGGGGCCAACCAGGGCGGAGCCGCCGGGGGGGGGGGGGGCCATGGCAGGCGGGAGCCCGGGAGCGAGGGGGCCCCGCCCCGGGAAGGCGCGAGGGGAGAGCGCCGCAGCACGCTGCCGTGAGAGGAGGAACTCCTGCAGGGAGACCTGCCCTGGGCCCCCCGGGGCGCTCCCCCAGGCCGGCCTGTCACCCTGGCTCGGCTCTCCCCGGCCCCCCAGGGTCGGCCTGTTTCGGGTATGTCTTCCGCGTGCTATTTTCTGCCGAGGCGCCGTCCGGGCGCGGCTCCTGCCCGCCTGCCTGCGGCTCTCCCAGGCACCTGGCCATGGGGAACAGGGGGTCCTGAGGGAGACGCTGGTGATGGACCCAGACACTGGGGCGTTCCCTGGGGCGGGCCCCTGAATCCTGAATCGTTCCTTGACCACCCCATGCGGAGATCCGGCCTTGCGACAAAGCTGCAGCATAGTGAAAAAGCACGTCCGGAGCCCCAGACCCCATCCTTCCCATGCATTTTTCAAGCTGGATCGATCTGTGATGATCTGGGGGCCTGAAACCGGTCGAACCCGTCCAGAGCGCGAGAAACCCAGACCCCCGACGGCCTGATTTTTTCAGAACGTCGACCCCCAGAGTTCTCGACCCATTCCCCTGGACCCGCTTCTCATACTGAGCCGTGTTTGTTACGGTCCCGAGGCCCGGTAAGGGCCTCCAGAAGCTGAAAACGACGAAAAACCTGCCGTCCTGGCTCTCTCATGTCACGAGGGGGTCTGGGCATTGCGAGGCCAAGGCCTCAGGGCCCGTCGGCCCCCGTCGGCCAGCGCCCGCCGCGCGGCGCTGCCCTCCCGCCCTCTGGCGGACAGCGCCCCAGCGGGCTCGGGGCCGGGGGAGCCCTGCCGCACACAGCCGCAGCGGGAGAGGCCCCGGCGCCAGCCGCGGGCTTCCCCGGCGCCAGCCGAACCGCTCTCCGCCCAGGGCTCCGACGGCAGA